GAGAGAAAAGAAAGAGGAAAAGAGAAAGAAAAGAATTTATTCAGAGAAAGAGACTCAGAGAAAAGACAGAGAGATACAGAGAGAGTACATACATAAAAGTATAACTAACCCATGACACCAGCCCACACACTGCCAGTCCGCCACAAGCCGGGCCGTTCTCCTCACAACTTCCTTGTAAAACTCCACGTACATGACAGGCTTATTGCTCGAGTGACTGGCCCAAATCTGGGGAGATTTCCAATATGAATGTGTCAGCTTGTTTGTTTGAGTAAAGCAGGGGTCATACTGAGCAGGAGATTTTTCCCCCCAAGACTTTTCCAACAGTTTTCAAGACCAGATTTCTTTTTTCCAAGACAAATAACCTGTCATTTCAGAAGAAAATTTGTTCTGGTGTGGTATTTCTTTGTTCAGAATGTGTAAAGTAGAGGCCACTTAAACTTTGAGGAAATATTTTTACAATATATCTAGTTAAAAATATGTTTTTCCAAGACTTTTGCCAACTTCCCAAAATTCCAAGAGTTTTCCATGTCTTGGAAGATAGAAACAAAATTCTTAAATTTTTCCAAGATCAGTAGGAACCCTGGTAAAGAGAAGTACATCGGCAAAATACAGGTCATTTGGTGCAGGGAAGTATTAAGACAGATAGACAGAAAGTACAGAGACAAAGAAAGAAAAGAGGTAGGGCCTACCAGTGTTACCCTCCTACCGCACACTGTGCATCAACTAGTCAACTTTGATATATATTATAATGTTGTCACTCAGCGCACCATCCAGTCTCCAAACTTTTGCTGTTAGGCACAAGAAACATACTTTAAAACATCATAGCTGCAAAAAAAAAGTACAAATAAATAAAACAAAATGAATGAATATCAACAAAACCAAATTAGCGCCTCGCTGGGATCTGTTGTTCAAAGCAGTTCATGCAGACACGAGTGGATGGAAGAGTATTCAGGCTTGATTACTTTTCTTTTCACTTAACCCCTTTGTGGTCAGTTTGTGCTTGACTGGGCAAAGTTTTGGATCCGGGGGGACAAAGAGTAGCACTAGATTTAGCGGTCAAAGAGCGTCTAACAGAAGCAGTATGCTGAATAGAAAACATGATGAACAACGCCTGTCATTATGGTCCTCGAGCTTTGCAAGGCATGACAAATGCCACACATCACAGCAGCATCTTGCTTCCTTCTCCGCACAAGAAAAACTGACAAACGGCGTACGTCATATAGGTAACGAAGGGGTTATTCGGTATTAATATTTTAATTAGAAATCAAGAAGCCAGTATGTCATGAAACACACTCGAAAGACTTAATTATTGTTAAAAAGGGCACTATAGTCTCAGTTTTAAACACATTGTGAAACTCACCTCGGGATAAAAATTCTTCACTGTATAATCTAACATGGTGGTCAGTATGTCTTTCCTGCCAACACTGGGGCCCTGGCGGCCAGTCTCGGAATCCATTGGCTTGAAAATCTCAAAGGAGCCGAACCTGTCAGTGACATCAGAGATCATGCTTTATAAAATAAATCATAAACAAGACAACGTGATTTTATTACTTTTCTTGTATTATCAAACTGACTGCTTAGTGTAATACTCAGCCACAGGCCATTTTAAAAAGGCGCGTATGACAGAGTCTTAGATTGACTAATTGAAATGTAACCGTAGGTACAGCACAGCCTGTAAGGATTATACTGAAAACAGTTCTGAGAACTGAGAATGCAAACACTGATGTAGTCTGTGAAAGTATCATCACTCACCTAAATGGTACGGAAAAACATTTTCTAAAAAACAAACTACAAAATTAACTGAATAGTGTTAAAAGGGAGATAAAACTGAAGTATAAACTCTTCTACGACTCCTCTTTGAAAGATTTATCTTTACAAAGTTCAATATATGGCAGTTATTACGATCGGAACCCTCCCCCCAAGTAAGCTATGCAAGGATAATTACATGTATCACAAGAGCAAGAATTTAGGATTTTTTAAATTGATAGGTTTTATGGTACCTCTGACATATTTGGATGCACTAAAGACCCCCCCAAAAAAGAAGAAAAAAAAATCAGACAAGTTATTGCTCTATTGACCCTCCACTACATGAAATTGACAGTGTGCTTCCTCCAGCTTCTGTGACAAAAAGTTCACAAACACAACAACACATCCACACACAAAATCCTCTCTATCTCTCTGTTTCTGCAAACATACACAGAAAGATTTACCGTAAAAATGTGGGCGCGATCCGAAGCACAAGTGTGCATCTCTCGTCTTTGGGGTTTCCGTTGTAGAAAATATCCCTGACGACTGTCGAGTCAGAAGTGATACAAGAGCCAGCACGGGTGGTGGGTATACCAAGGTGATAAATAGCCTGAAAGAGAGAGTGAGTTTGTGTTACTTGCCTTTTCCGTAAAAGTAAAGAATGAACCTAAAGTTTTTGCACATTGTGACGACTCCAGCATGTTTTTTTGTGTTCTTGGGAGACATAACTGCAGCAACCTCTGTGACCTCCTTGGTGACCCCAGAAGATGTGGATCAAGCAGTTTGAATTTGAAATGGGGGTGGGGGGGGGGGGGGGGGGGGGGAAGAGAAAAAGAATTGTGTTGCCCTCACTGAAAAACTGCTAACAATAAATATCTACTACAACCACCATCGATCATAAATTAAGAAAGCCGTGCAGTTCTATTCAACTTGATTGGGAAGTAAAAAATATTCAAACTAGACCACATTAGAGAAAGAAAAAAATTCCTCGGCACAGAACATATTACAGTGGAATCCTGTTATAACGAGAGGGAGGGGACCGGAGCAAAATGTCCGTTATAGCAGGATTCTCGCTATAAGGGATCCTGTAATAAATTCAAGGGAAACTGTAAAGTAGGCCTAATCTATGAGTTTGGTGTTCTGTTTATTTCCTTTTGCTATCTCCCCTGATGATGATTTTGTTTCAACATGACCTCTAGGTCTTACTTGATCAAAAATCGAATCAGGTTTCTTTCTCTAGCGCTAGATCTAGCAATGTGGACTGACAGCTCGGCGTTGGCGATCAGAAAGAAAGGGTTCTGGGCTAACTCACCCGCTGTGTTTTTCCCCACCCCACCCTGTGGTGCATTCTGTTTGCTTGCGCACGTCACACATTTTCTCCATCCATCACATTGCTGTGACATCTCCATCCCCGCATTGGAGAAGTGAGAGGCATGGTAGGCCTTGATAATCTAAACTAGGCTTACGCTGGCCTATCACGCGATGCGTTCTGCTTGTCTGTGCATGCCACACCCTCCCTACTCAGTTGCTCTGGCCTTCATTGTTGACGCACATGGGCTCTCCTATTCTTTGTTTTGCAAGATCACCAACAAGTTTCTCAAATGGCGAGGTTTCGCATTATGTATAATTGGCCTATGCATTGTGCACATCAGCAGGAATATTCTGCTATAACCGACTCTCTTGTTTGTCTGATAGCGAATAGCAGTATTCTATTTACAAAGGTAAACAGGACAAAAAAACGGGGTTTTAGAATAGTGTCTTTATAACAGACTTCTCGTTTTTTCCAGACTCATTATAAGTGGACTCCACTGTATTAAGACAAAGCTCTCACCTCACTACACAAGAACTCTCTTATGGTGCTCCGAAGAACCTTCCGGCCATCTGCTGTGCGTGAGTATGGAGTGAGTCCTGCACCTTTCAGTTGTATTTCCCATCTCTTCCCAGCACTGTTCACAATCTCTCCCAGATACCTGGCAGGTACAAATGGAAATCAGGAGGACATCAAAATAAAGGGAAGCTATTCTAGAAGGTCATGCTCATATCTAAGACTTTATTGAAAAACTTGCCTTTATTTTTCAGCGGGACATTTGAACAGAATTGTGCAGTTTCTCACAAAAAGTTGTCTTTGAAAGCATTCTCGAAAAAACATTATTTACCAAATTAAGAATTTGACTTATCCATGACGCCAGCCCTCACACCTGCCAGTCTGCCACCAGTTAAGAATTCCATACAAAAACCAATCAATGAATGAAAAGACTGAAGAATGAAATAAAGAGAATAAGAGAAGTTTACAATCAATTTATGTCAAAATCGTCTCTGACCACTCACATTGCAGCTCCATCTCCAAGCTGGCCAGAGAAGTAGCCAAACTGATGACCACAATAACAGTGTGCAGCAGTCTCCGAACCTGGCAGGATTTTGTTTCCACTGAAATACTCGACAAATTCTGGCCGCTGCGACTCTTCCTCGGAAATATCGATAAGTGCAAGGGCAGGAAGCGCCTTGCAGATCAACACTGGTCTCTTCACAGGTGTTGGACTGACTTGGGAGAAGCATGCCCCTGGCACCTGAAAGTTCATGTGACACACAGACATGAAAAAGTGAGGAACCAAATAATAAAAGCAAGAAGAAGACTAGCTCTTAATTCAACATTAAAATAAGAATTCACGATTTACCTGGTATTGAATAAATAACAAGGCTCCTCTTACAATTTAAAAAAAATTCATCCAACGTGCCCGGAGTTAACGTTATTTTGGATATAAATTTCTGTAAACCCAAGTTTAGAAAAGTGAAAGGACACTTCTAAGCCAGGTAGGATGATGAGAATATCAAGGGACAGTGCCCAAAAATTCCCCCAAAAGATAAAAAAATCATAAGAACGTACCTGTCTTTGTGTTTTCTCAACATTGGGATCCACTGGCAATGATTTCAGAGCCAGGTTATCAAAGTTCAGAGTTTCTAATGTTGGTGATGCTCCGGCCATCTTGTGAACAAAACGTTTCACAGCATAACCAGCAAGGCAAATGATATTTCTTGCTGACTGTGTTCTGTGGTGAGATCTTCTTGAATCAGAATATTCAGAGCTTGACTGGGAATATGATCTTATGGACTGTCTCCCTCTCCCAGGCTGTGGAACATGACAATGCTGAAGCCCCCTAAAGGCCGCCACGTGCTCTGGGCTCCGCTGAGTACTAATGCAACACTTAACGAAATTCCGACTCATCTAAACGTGTAGTGGCCAGTCAGTCCATCATCAACCAACCTGTAGAAAGAAGTGGAGAGAACTGAGATCCCTCGGCATGGTTAAGGAACTCAATTTCATGAAGTTTTAATTATTTTGCAAGAATGAGGGGAAGGGGAAGTTCAGGGGGGCCTCCCCCCTGACAAACTTTTAACGATGAATAGATCTACCGGTCTGAGACTTTTCATTGAGAGAGATTAAAAACTGGGCAAGATCATGAGTTCCTAAGGTTGAGACATAAAGACCTAGGCAAAAGTAGTCCCAATCCGCTGGTCCGGAATTCCTCAATCTTACCAAGATTTTAAATCACAGTTACTTTCCCTGTATTATATTTTGTTTAAATAATTAACAGTAACATAGATCTAGCAACAAAATAATAAAAATGGGAAACATCAAAATGACGTGGCGACGTGACAATCTGGCATTCCTGCGAGTCATCTACCGGAAGACTCGTGCGGTCTCACTGCCAAAACAAAGTTGTAGGGACCGCAGAGAAGGTTTAAGGATTGGCCACCTTTATTCTCACCCCGAGTTAGAATAGCGCAGGCGAGTCTTTTGGCTATTCTCACCTGGTGTGCGTTCACTGCTATAGCCTAGATCTAGGCCAACCAGTGTAGCGTTCACACTGAACCACAGAATTCTACACTGTGATAACAGAATTGTATAATTCTGTGCCTTGAACAAACGTTCCATTACTACTGTTAGCCTAAAAGCGTGCAATTTTGTCTGTGGGCAGAGGAGAGAAAGAGAGAGAAAGAGAGAGAGGAGTAGCGCGTGAACTTCTGGGCAAAACAAAATGGCGACCCACGTAGTTCGGCTCGATTCGAAAAGTCGAATAGCCGTAGCATCTTTGTAGACTACCAAATTAATTTACTTTTCAGTTTTAACATCATTTTTAAACTTTGTTTTGGTCAATTTGATCGTCCACACCGATAGACAGTATTCAGAAAGAGACAGAGAGAGAGAGAGGGGGGAGGAGTAGATCTTGCGAGAACTTCCGGGCAAAACAAAATGGTGACCCGCGTAGTTCGGCTCGATTTGAAAAGTGAAACAGCAATAACATCTTTGTAGATTATCAAATTAGCTTACTTTTGTACGTCATTTTTTCTTTGCTTTTATCAATTTGATCATACACACCGATAGACAATATTCCTAAATTAGGAAAAACAGGTCTTGTTTCACATCGGAAAGTGGCTATTCTCACCCGCCCGGAAGTTCTCGCAAGATCAACTCCTCCCCTCTTCTCTCTCTCTCTCTTTCTGAATACTGTCTATCGGTGTGGGCGATCAAATTGACCAAAACAAAGTTAAAAAATGATGTTAAAACACAAAAGTAAATTAATTTGGTTGTCTACAAAGATGCTACGGCTATTTAACTTTTCGAATCGAGCCGAACTACGCGGGTCGCCATTTTGTTTTGCCCGGAAATTCTCGCGCTACTCCTCTCTCTCTCTCCACTGCCCACAGACAAAATTGTACGCTTTCAGTAGGCTACAATTGTAATGGAATGTTTGTTCACGGCACAGAATTCTACAATTTTTCTGTTATCACAGTGTAGAATTCTGTGGTTTAGGGTGAACGCGCACCGGGTGAGAATAGCCACAAGACTCGCCTGCACTATTCTCACTCCGGGTGAGAATAGAGGTGGCCTTCACATCGGGTGAGAATAGCCAACGCTGGCAAGTCTCACCCAGGGTGAGAGGTCGATCGTATTTTTATTCTCACCCCGGGTGAGGATAGCCACTTCCTAAGGATTACCACTATTTTTTAGAATCACGATCAGATGACGCGGCAGGCAACCCCTTAGCGAGGTCAAAACAAGATGGCTGTTACTATAAATATCAGCTAGTGTCATTTAGAGATCTAGTCGTCGCTCTCTAGTCTCTAGCTATCCGTTTGTGTATTGTGTTCGGCAGACATAGATCTAGATCTAGATCTGATCTATAGATCTAGGAAGGCCATAGATCTATGGTCATTTTTGTGTGTTTTGAAGACAAAACCAGTGCATCTGTGTGCACGTGTGAAAGTCAGTAAAATTTGTCAATCAGTCAATTAGACTCTGCTGCTAATACTGCAAAGTTAAGAAGTAGGCTACTAACTTGTGTAACTTTTGTCTGGCAACAGAACCATAAGTGACTTAAGTTCATCTAGTCTAGATCTAGATGTAGTCAAGGCTCTTCTCTAGGCCTACCAATGCCAAGCCAATGACAATGATGATCAATTACCTCTTTTTAAAATCTTTACAAACAGCCACTTCCCATTCCTCCCTTTGCATTAAAAACAAACAAACTTATTATAATGGCACTGTGTAAGACATCCACCTGCCTAAGACAACTGCAGTCTCCCCGACAGTGGGTGGCGTCTTCGTTATAACTGTAACTAAATCTAGATCTATACCTACCAGGTTACGAAAGTTACCAGATGAAAGCAAAACAAACCGACTTCACTTCACACATTAAAATTTGATAGAGTAGTTCCCCTTAGCTCGTCGTACAACATTATAGTCGCACAGTACATAACGTCCTAGAAGGCTTTAGAATAATAATAATGATGATGATGATCATCATCATCATGATAATAATATAATTAATAATAATAATAATAATAATAATAATAATAATAATAATAATAATAATAATAATAATCGTAATCATAATAATAATCATAATAATAAAGATGATTATAATAATAATAATAATAATAATGATAATAATAATAATAACAACAATAATAATAATAGTGATAAAAAGACTTGGGTAAATTTTTACTTATGCACCCACACATATATGCATTGATTTGAAGGCTAAACTGCCATAGTTTTCGCTGTAGAACACACATATGGCCACTAAAACCCTTGCAAAGCAATTGTTTTCAAGTAAATATCAATCCTAATTGCCAAAACATCAAACCATTGTGAAATGCAGGGGGGCATCCCCCCCCCCCTGAAGCCCCCCAAATTCTTTTTAGGTCAGGGGGGGGGGGGCATGCCCCCCTGAAACCCCCATATTGTTAAATTTACTATTTTCAAACATCAATAACTCAATAACTATTGATTTGCGGCAAAAATAAAGGCCATTTTCGTGTTCAGCATGCAAAATACTACTCGAAAAGAAGTATATAAAACGTGAACAAGAGACGGGTGTATAAGTAAAAAACCCTCAATACTAGTAATAGTAATAGCAATAGTAATAACAACAATAATAATAATTATACAAGTGTCAGGCTTATTCAAGCTTATGGAGCTGTACAAAGTTGTACACGAGGCGACATTACGAAAACGGAGGGTTATTCCATTGAGAGCTTTGCTGTGTATCTTTATTTTGTCCAAAATTTTACTGCTATATTATAATAATATGTTCTAATAACTCAAAGAGATGGTGGCTATCCTTTATTTCTAATATATGGTCTCGTCCAAAAGGGACGCATCCCTAGCTGGTTGTATAATGGAAAGTGCCATATACCCTGCCTTAAGTAAGTAGAATGCTGCCTCTAGGGATCACAGAAGTATCCTTCATGACCCCTGCAAAGTACGTAGGTTATAATGACTATGGAAAGACAGCTTTTGAGGTCCCAAAACTTTGTGGCTAGCTACTTAACAAAAACTGCAGGTTCTTGGCACTTTCACGTGTGCTGTTCTTGTTGCTTTATTGAAAATTATAGCTGAATTTTTGCTGTTGCTGTTGCATTTTTACTGCCACTACCCCAGTAAAACTTCCTGCTGTTTTACCATGACAGTCCCCCATTCTTGTAACAAAGTCAGCACGGAGGTGTTACCTTTGGAGATCATTTAATGTACATGTACATAAAACGATTCCCAACGTGCACCCCTCAACCTCAGAGATAGGTCACGATCTAGGCGTCTAACAAAAGATTGCACCCACAACACACACGTGCTTTCTAGAAAGTAAGCGCTTTGCTCTGTGTGTGTGTGTGTGTGTGTGTGTGTATGTGTGTGTGTATGTGTGTGTGTGTGTGTGTGTGTGTGTGTGTTGCATGGTCAAAGTATTGTTTTTGTTTAATGTTTCTCCGACTCCCTCGATCCAATTTTTTCTGGGCCTGCCTCTTCCTCTGTATCCGTCTGATCTCTGTTTGTATGCTCGCTGCCATACTGTCTGGTGGTTTTCTTGAAGATGTCCAAAGCTTTTTCTGTGTTGTTTATCGATGTATTCCAAACAGTGAGGTGAGCCAATTTGTTCTCTGACAATCTTGTTTCTCACCCTGCCTCTTTCTGTAATGTTCATTTTTTTTCTAGGGCATTTAGTTTCGCAGGCCTTAATTAAAATCTTGCTTTGGTGATCTTGGCTATCGTTCATGTTTGGGCTTGTTAGCAAAGATTTGGAATGAAGATCAGATATCAATGTGTTTGTACTTTGTTTCCATTACATTATACTCGTAACGATGGGATGAGAAAGTAATGGTGTTAGTTGGTAAGTCGCACCGTATTGGCCTTTAAAAAAGATTCTGGTTTCTATTCCCTTTTCCATTTTCCCGTCTTGGGTGAACAAACTTTCCAGGCAGCCTACTAGATCTAGAACTCTTCTTCTTGCCTCTTGCTTGACTTTGCTGCTGTTGATTCTGATGTTTATGGGCCTGGTGATTTTGTTGTATTTTCATTACCTTGGTTTTGCTTCTGCTGATCTTCATTTACTTGTGATCTTTGCAGCTTTTGTCAGTTTATTTGCTTTTTACAAAGCCTTACAAAACAACGACAAAAAACAAACAGAACAAAAAATACCATAGAAATACTATCAATTAGAATGCCGATTAAGTATCTTGTATAAACATTCATGTTAACAATATAGTTGTTCATTTCTAACATTCATGTGTGACTGTGGATCTCTTAGTGAGTGCAAGCATTATGATGTGGAGGACTATATAATTGTGCGCATATGTTTGTGGAAGAGAGGATACGAGAGTATGTGTATGTATGCATGTGTGTAGGTTGTGTGCATGTGTGTGTTTGTGTGTTTGTGTGTATGTGTGTGTGCATGTGTGTGTATTTGTGTGTGTGTGTGTGTGTGTGTGTGTGTGTGTGTGTGTGTGTGTGTGTGTGCATGTGTGTGTTTGCGTGTGTATTTGTGTGTGTGTGTGTGTGTGCATGTGTGAGTATTTGTGTGTATTTGTGTGTATATATGTGTGTATGTGTTTGTATGTGTGTATGTGCGTGCATATGTGTGTGTTAGCGTGTGTATATGTGTGTGTGTGTGTGCATGTGTGAGTATTTGTGTGTGTATGTGTGTGTATATGTGTGTATGTGTGTGTATATGTGTGTGTAAGTGTTTGTGTGTGTATGTGTGTGTGCATGTGTGGGTGTTTGTGTGTGTGTGTATGTTTTTGTACGTATGTGTGTGTTTGTGTGTGCGTGTGTGTGTGTTTGTATGTGTATTTTTGGTTTGTGTGTGTATGTGTCTGTGTCTGTGTCTGTGTGTAGGTGTGTGTGTGTAGGTGTGTGTGTGTGTGTAGGTGTGTGTGTGTGTGTATTTGTGTATATATA